CGAGGTTCGGCGGCAGATCCTCGGAGTTCCAGGAAGGAGTGCGGAGAAAATTTGGTTAGTGATCTCTCTCTATCTTTCCCTCTCTGTCTCTCTCTCTCTATCTTCGTTATTTGAATTAAGAATTAATTCGCGTTTGCTTCCTCGACGCGTAACAAGATTAATACGTATTCGATTAATCTTTCATCAAGTCGCCTATTCAAACCTATTGTTTTTGGAATTTATAGCGCAATTAAGAATAAACCACTGTTCGAGCATTAACAATGACCTATGGATATAAGTAGACGTCGGCCATCGCGAATACGTCGGACTGATTTACGATAGAAAGTCGCGCGATGATTATTACTGTAAGATATTACATCGCTGTAAACACAGCTGCCGCGCGCGTCTTTATTAAAACGGACCTTGCTCGCTATCATTAATCAATCACGTAGAGTGGACAAAGACGCTTCATCTTATGTAACGCGCGTCATATGGAGACTGCGTATAACTTTGATTACGTTCGTCTGGTGCAACCAGAGTTTAGACATCTCGATGAAGTTTGTTTACTTAACCACTCTCGCGTTAACAATGCGTTTCACACATTCGAGGCACTCGGTAATCTAATTAAATTTCTTTTCTATATAAGCCTGCCACAATCAAGCTGGAATAGCAAAATCGGATAAATCACAATAATTTATAAATGTGCTATAATGTGTGCGATCTGTGTGATATTACCGGTTTAAATGTGCTTTTTAATGTCTCTTTACTCGAGTCAATTTCGTGACCATCCCACGAGGCACTCGAGAGTTAATAAAATGTTCCTTTCCCGATCGAGCTGCCGTCATTCCACGCTGGTAAATGACAAATACAAATTAGTTTTGACGCGTTCTCCTCGTGACGCGCTCTCTTCATCCCGAGTGATTTACGCTATTACTGACGATCGAGCCTTCATTCGCACAAAGAGATCTGCTATCTAAGGAGGAACAGCGCACAGAGAGCGACTCGATCTCCAAAGCTGTCACTTCTAAGATGTGAGAGATACAAATCGGCGCCAACGCGTTTCTTTTCTCGGCCGCTTTCATCTCGCCTAATGATCGAATAGCGATATCGCCGCTTCCCCGATATCGAGAATTAACACGTCACGGTGACACCGCGGATAATCTTCGTACGACGTCGTTTTCGCAGGCCAGCCATCTATCCGGGGAACTTTCCAAAAGGTCGTCTAGGGGTCCGATTCTCGACACATTGACGTTGACATCCGACAGCTTCCACGGGGGTGGAGAAACCGGAACCGATTATACCTCGCGGCGTTCTCATTGAACTTTCACCGCAGGCGCCGCGACATTCGTCATGTATTGCCGTTTAGCACGTGAGTCGTGTTCTAAATTTGTTACAGCATCACGTAACAGCAACTTATATAAATCTTTCCAGCGCAAGTTCGCACGCGTGGGGTTGAATGATCTTTCAAAGTTTATTCCCACAGAGAAAACGGAAGGCAAAGAGAAAATATAAATTGTATGCAAGCTTCAAACCGTTTCTCCCTAAAGTACAGTTTCTTTTACATGAGGATTGATTGGCAGATCTACATCACTCGAGAATTTAAAAAACCAGTTTTATCCTTATAAAAGTTTAACACTGGAAAATGATGATTAACTACTTATTTTGTGTTTATTAAAACCATTATTGTTCAAATACTTTTAATATTCAAAATAAGTCATTTCCAGTATTAAAATGGTTAATTATTAAACTAGATTTTTGTCTCTTTTTCCCTCAAATATCGAGATCTTGAAGTATATATCAAGTATATATGAAGTATATTATGATAAAAAATGATAAATCTTATAATACAAATACAAATATTATTTGAATCAAAATTTTCTTACATTTAGAAATCATGAAGAAAATGATGTATATTATTTATTGACTATCCAATACAACGGCATTCTTACAACACGAGATTATGCTTTATTACCTGCGGTTAGAGAAAGTGTGCCAAAACTGTATGTCTCTTCCTGTATGTGTCACGTAGTACACTTATAGCAGAAAACAAATGCCGTTCCTGAGTCATGCTATCTGGATGCCGTTATAATCCACAAATATTATAATAATTTCGCATTTGTCAAAATATTAATCTGAACGCGCATTAGGATGCGTGTATCGGCGATACATTGGCGTGATATCACCGGCGACTCGTAATGTTTATTAATAGTACCATAAATTCGATTATCCGGCCTCGATTAATTCCATCTATCGCAGTCTTATTTGCGCTCGCGATTCAACAAATACCGATTATGATCGTGCCGTCGAATCGAAATTGCTGCCGCAATCAAGAAACATGATTCACGGAATTTATAACCAAATTATGAAGCGGCCGCTTGGTATTAATTATCAAATTAAACGCGGTGGCGCACAGGCGAAACACATACATATATATATATGTATATATATATATATATATATATATATATATATATATGCCCCTTCGTAAACAATTTAACGTAATAATTGGCGTACGTGAATATTTCCGCAGTACGAGCAATCCGTGCTTGTTTACGCCTGTGTTCATTTTGACGACTATAATCGTTTCATCAAACAAAAAAAAAAACATAGAAATTAAAACAGAAATATAGAATAAATAATGAAATAAAAAATGACAGGAAAATTGAAGAGAAAGAGGATTGATTAGCCTATTTGTCCGTTTAATTCATATCAATAACAAAACGCAATACAATACGCATATATGTATAATATAACTTTATAAACCATTTATATCTCGTGTAAACTCTTATCTCGTATTACTTTAATCGATCGTATTTTCGTCGAAATTTTTCGATTAATCAGATGTTGCAATAGGAAATTGTTTTATAAACCACGCTTAGATAACGTTGCTATAATTTCTTTTATTTCAAAATTACTTTTGTGCGAGCAAAAGCGCAATAGACTTTTATTTACAACATTTTTTATTTAATTTACAACTTCGACAATTATAAACGGTGTTTCATTATATTTATTACAAGGTTCGATTCTGTAGGATCAATTAGCAAAGAAGTCTATCAGATTTTATTAATTAAATTATCTTATACAAAACACACAGGTATTTTTAATATTTTTCAAAATCTTAATTCAATTATTTTAATTCAATTTGCTTAATTCGACTCATAAAGCGCATTTCACTGTTGACGTAATTATCTCTGCTACTTCCATTATCTTGTTATGTTATCTCCACTTTCGAGAAGACGATATAATCGACAGTGCGGCAGCAAAAACTCTCGCTATCACTCGCTTACGTAAATATCTGTCTTCCTCCTTCGTCGCAGTGACCATTTTTGACCCCGATTTTTCTATTACCGCATAGTCGTGTGTCCACATTCTACTTAACTGAGTTTGCCAGCTAATCTTACGTCAAGTAGCCTCTCTCGGAATACTCTTGCAAATTCTCTAATGAAGTAGGCGAAGAAAGCGGTTGTAGGCAGCAAAAGGACAAATATTTGCTTCAATTGTTTAACTATTAAGAAAGTGCTTCCATCGCCGAGAGGCAATGGCGCTAAAAAGTCCTTTCGCCCCTTTAATTGTCCGAGTGCAAGTCTAGAACTTCTTCGTAATTGTTATTTTCGCGCGGATTCGCAGTTAACGGCAAATTTATAATCGTGGACTTGCAGATTTATACATTGTCAAGCAATGAATATTCTGAGGTTTTTATTAAAGTATAAAATATCCTCCTTTTAAAATAACAAATTTTTCCGCACATGTGTTGTCCGCGTTTAATCAGACTCTGATTGAATCGTTTAAATGTATATTATAACTAACCGGGATAATTGCGATACTGAAGTAAACATGAAAATACGCGAGATTTTCCAATAATATAATTAATAGCGTTTATTTCTTAATAATCTCATATATTAAACAAACTGTTATTCGCTTTAATGATTTTATAACTGGATCTATCTCTCTAATCAAATCTTTCAATATCGCATTTACCCCAATCACAATACAATATCACAATTACCCTAATTGCTCGCACGTTGGATACACTTGAAACGTTGGATAATTTATAATTTCACGAAACGGCGAGAGTGGTCGAGCGAGGAGTCGGGAATTAAATCGCATCTTCCTTCGGCATACCAAATCTTTTTATACAAACTCGTCTTTTTACATTTGATGTCAAGCTAGACGTACGCGAGTGAAGCATGATCTTTCGGCGTGTTCGTATGCGAGGGGTGCATCGGCTACACTTTGTTTCTCTCCTCCTTGTAGGGGTGGGCGGCTATCCAGTCGAGGGCGCGCTGGATGACGGGCGGAATTTCCGGCAGTGGCGGCGGGGTCGGCAGATGCGCCCCTTGGAAAATGGCGCCATTCTCGTCTGCCAGCCAGCCGAGATTAATTTTCTGCCCGTCGGGCGCGGTCCACGACGCCGAGCCACGCACCTCCTCGGCCTCTTTGTCTTTCTGGCCGGCATTCTTCTGAACGCCCTGCTCCTCGAAGGTAATTCCGTTGGCGCTCTCCCATCTCGTGAAGTAGCTACCGTCCGGGTTGCCGTTGTCCTGCTCCTGCCTGACGATGGCTATCGGCTCGTTCGCCGCCGATATTACTGCCGCCAGGCTCAGCAAGATAATTAAATGTGGATTCATCCTGGATAGGACCGAAGATGGATTAGGAATTATCGTCTAAGCCGCGCATTCGCCGGCGTACGTGATTTGTGAATCGTGAATCAAAATTACAAAGCTTGATTTACACCGCTCTCCGAAATACAGAATTTTTATATTAGGCAATGAGAGATTTAAAAATGCTAACTTGTGACTTGTAAAGACTTACAAATTTAGTTTATCCAATATTTATCTAGCGGATTATTGGATATTACATCCTCCTGATAAAAGCTGTGTGTGCAAGCGTTATTTTAAAGAAGTGCGTTTCGACACTTTTGTTGAGTCTCGGATAATTATTACAAAAGAATATCGATACGACGTCGTCTGAGATTTGACTGACAGGCGACTATGCGAGGCTCTTACCTCAACTGCTTCGTTTTCCAGATATTGCGTGCACGGTATTACTGACGAGCGTTTATCCACCGCGTCCTCCTTTTATAGATAGCAGTGCTCTGTGCTATCGTCGGCATATTGCTTCAAATGCCACTCGATGATACCGGTTCGAACCTTTATTATAGACCGATGCATACCAGAAAAGAAACGTACCCGCGAGCCTTCGTATCCACGTTTTGGAATCGGAAGTTCTGCGCTTTTGTCGCTGCACTTTCGTCACGTAGCTATTAATTTATATATGATGTCCGACGAATATCTTTCAAATTCGCGAGAAAGGAGATTTTCCCACCCCCTTATGGAAGGGGAGGGGGGGGGTGGGAAAATCTTACGTGTGATTAGGATGCGTTTAAAGTTTTCACAAAAATTTTCTGAAGTTTTAATCTCCGGGCAAGTTAAAAAAATTCAACACGTTGCAATTATTTGCACGTGTTTTCATACGAAGATGTATAAACGGATAGATAGTTCAAGTACGTTGCAAATGCACGTAGTGTTTTAACCTTTGAAACGCACGTTATATACCCACTCGTTTTTCCTCGAGATTCCTTTCGCGATCGATGTGCATTGCACTCGGATGATTTTTTATCGTTAACGCCCGACAGCTGCGACGTACGATGGATTGTTACCATGTTTATTCCCATGCGAGTCTTTTTATTGCAATTTTCGTATATATCCAGTTTTTTTTTACGATCATTTATATTCTTGTAACGGCATCTTTTATTAAGCTTTAATTAATTGATATACTATTTAGTGCTCTTAAAAATTTATTAATGTTGAGACATTTGTGTATTTATTTATTGCTTAATAAAATTATTAAACGCAGCATTTTATTTATAGCTTAATAAAATTATTAAACGCTTTTCTCGTAAATGTTAATTTAAATTCAACTCGTATTTTTATCTCTTTTTTTTCTTTATCTTTTTTTTTTAAAAAAAAAGAACAGGAATACAGAAATTGAGTCTCAGTTAATTTTCAAGTTAATATTAATATATTTGAAAAACTACTTTAAAGTTGTTTACATTAATTTTTTATTTTAATTAATAATTAATTGTAACAAAATATTGCAATAAATATCAAAAATATTATTACAATTCTTTTTTTGTTTAAATATGATCAACCTTACAAAAAAAATTTACATCACAGCTTCTGAAATAATTGCAATCTATGTACATTATACCATTGTACATTAAAAATAACATAATTATGATACCTAAAAGAGTATATTTGTAAATATGAATTATATGAATGTACTCGGCGCATTCAAATTACGACGGAAAACATACGAACCCGACGAAAATGAGGCAATCGAAATAGTCATTTATTATCGAAATGATGCAGGTAAATGCAATGTGTTATTATACAGAAAGACTTATGTCATGTTTACTGGACATATCATTTTAGCGGTTTTCTTCAGTCGATTGCATAATGCAGTTTCATTACTCACTATTGAATTACCTTGTCAGAGCTGCCATAAATGTACCCTGATACCCATAACGAGATATGCATCTTGATAGCGATATTTCGTAAAAGGTTTGTTAAAACCGAAGCCAGAGATTTTCCACGACACTCTTCTCTGATATAATAGCACCGTGATGCGAGAGTCATCACGCTTTTTTATTCGACACTCATTGTTAGAACGGGCTCGCTTACTAGGCATGCCAGACGCTTGCTCGCGCGCAACGATGTAACATTCACTCCGAAGGATGGGCAGATTGAAAATCTGCACGAGACAAAATTGCGTAATAACGGTGCAGAGCCGAAGACGTACTCGCAGTTTTTAACCTTTCTGCGGCGAGAGACTGCACGAAGAGGGAAACATTTTTACGGCGTGAAACGCGCGCGCTACGACTATTATTTAGCATTCGCTTATACTTATATCGTTTTACGACCAATGTAAAGCCCATGTAAAGGGAGTAACCTCTTCTCCAACTCTTTCTCGTGAAATTATCCGCGCGCACGCTATTCTAGAGGCCCGATATCTAAATAACAGACTCGGAAACGCGCGTCCGCGTTGGAGAACGCACGAGATCTCGTGAAAAATAAAGAGCCAGAAAATAGCCTGCGCTATCAAAAGCAGCTCACAAAACCATTCTGAGGAATTCTTACGTCATTTACTCTCTTCTCTACGAACTTTATTCTTATTTTATTACCAACATTACTGCACGATGAAGTAAAAAGAATAAATCCGTAAGAATACAAAAGTTTTAGACAAAGATAAAGTTTCGGAAAGTAATATAAAATCCATATTTTATCGTAGTTTGCTAGTATAAAAAATAATAAAAAATATTTTGAAAAGTAACTCACTTGAGTTTACCACAGTTAATTTTGTAATTAACTATCTTTTGACAGGAGGAATGGGACAAGGATGGAAGGAAGCAAAGTTACAATAAGATATTTCCAACTTGGGCAAAACGCTTTTATTTATATACAAAAATCACAAGTTAAGTATACATGTATACTATTAACGTTCGACGCACGCGAAAACGATTTGCACGCGCGTGTCGTTCTCGTTTCTTGCGTGCGGAGGTGGCGCGCGTGCATCGGGGCACGGCATCTCTCCCCTCGGTGAAACTGCTGAACAGTGCGCTTTATTTTTCATCTATACAAGATAAGATAAAGAATCATCTCGGGAGTACATAGCTTATTATATACCGGTGTCTCATGCCTTGTCTTCGTGTTACGTTTGTATCCTAGATTAATATACCACACTATATTTATTTTTATGTGTTTGCGTTTCGAAAGCTCGGGGTCGGTTCTGTCCATGGCAAGCTGGCTCGGAATCAGGTCACGTTTGAGGTAAAGTTGGGCTGATTAACCTGCAACAGAAGAGGGAGACCGTGAGCGTGAGGACGGTGTCTCTTGAAATATTTAACGGAGACGGACTCCAGAGTCTTGAGTACGGTAACATAGTTACAAGTAGACGCTTTATTATGTGTATTCTATGTTGTGTGTGTGTGTGTGTGTGTGTGTGTGTGTGTGTGTGTGTGTGTGTGTGTGTGTGTGTGTGTTCACGTGGACACGGAAGTCTGCGAGTGTACAATACAAACAAAATACATACAACAGAACGTTCCATTTCTAAACTGAATTGAAAGCATAAAGGGGTATCTCTAAAAGAAATTAATGCGGGACTTCTTAGATAGAATATAGGGCAGCATGAGGGCAGTTATGGCGCTGGAAAGGAATTCAGATTTACATTAAAGATCGGCGATTCTCTCTCAGAGATCTCGTTTTCTATTGTGATTCTTAATATGCGTGTTCGCCTAAAGAGATTCCGGTCCGCGAAGTGTGGAACGGAATCCGGTTCTCGATGGGACTTTTATTTACCGGCAAAATATGGGGAGTCTTCCGGTGTCGATGGCGCGTATCGCCGAAGTAACCGGATTTTGCTCCGTAAAAGCGGTTAACGTACGCCGAAATTGTTTTCGTTCCCGTTGCGCGCGGTCGCCACAAAGATATTTTCGGTTCACCGGTGCGCCCGTATTCGGGCCAATTTCAATTTCGAGTTCAGGACCAAAGTGAATTAAACGACGCCGCAGCGAGTCTCGGTGAGCTACTGCCACCCGTCGAACTGCGATTGAGTAAACTGATTTACCCCCTCCCGCCCCAAACAGCCCCGCTGTTTGTCGGAAACACAGAGGACCGGGCCCGCTTAACGCACAGGGAAATTTAGATGGCTGCTTGATCAAAATGGATTTACGGAGCAACGACGATCGGAATCGTCCGATGTAAACCAATTTCGCGGCGGGATCTGTTGCGATTTTTTTCACCGCTTGGCCTATTCCCCGAAAGTCGTGTGTCTTTCATCATGCGGTAATTCGATTATTTGGGTCAACCGTTTTCCGTTCCGCGGAGGAATTGTGCCGCGTAGTTTCAGCGAGCGGTTAAAACAAGAAAAATCGCGCGGTTTAATCGTCCACTTCGGACAGAGGCGCTTCTTCTAATTATAACATTAATTAAACTTCTGCTAAGGACACAAAGAAATTTCATTTCTACTGTGCAGTGTGATGCGGTCACACACATGATATCCCTTGTGAAACGCTGTTTCAAACACTGTACCTTTTGAAGTTACACACTTGATTATTAATTTCCTCTAATTATGTTTCCGAGCCCGCGATAAATTTTGTACGTTGACCTCACGCGAGCATGTTTCACGATCTCTCATATATTTCTCACGCTGAACAAAAATATCTCTCGCTTGCATTCGAAACAAATACATCTCGTTTTTCAAAATTAGCATCATTGAGTACTAAATTATAATTACATGTTTAAAAAAATTAAAAAAAAAAAAACACTCACAAGTTTCGAAGACTATTTTGGAATAAGATTAAGGTCGGACTATCTTCCTTCACAAAAATCCAATTTAATACTCTGTGTGGCCAATACAATTTTGGAAATTATTTGTTTTGAACGGTGTTTTTCATATTCAAAATAAATCATTTATCATTACCTTTCAGTATTAAATTTTTCTAAGGGGTGTGTATAATTCCGAGAGAGAGAACGCGGATTCAGGATTCTTCATTATTTGATACGGCGAGTCTCACCTCTTCCCGGTGGTCTCTGACCGCCGTCATCCTCCTCGGGGTGAGCGGCGTTCCAGTCCAGCGCCCTTTGTATCTCTGGCGGGATGGGCGGCGGCGTGGGGATGTGGGAGCCCTGCACCTGGAAACCGTTCTCATCTGCTAACCACGTGATGCTGACCTGTTGGCCGTCCGGCGCCACATACGCGTCCGAGCCCTGCGAGACTACCGGCGTCTCCTGTTCCACTTGTTTCGGCTGGCCCGATTCCTGATGGCTGATCCCATTGCTCGTCTCGAAGCTACGAATAAACGATCACGTGACAACACAAAACAGCAAAATCAAGAAAATCTGTCGCTCGTTATTCCTTTTGCGGAAAAGAATTTTGAGATAAAAAAATTAAAAAAAAAATCAAGCTTAAAAAGCTATAAAAGATATAGAAATATCAGTATGTAAAATTCTTCACTATTTCATATGTAATTACATTAAGAAAAAATGAATGATCATGTAATAGAACAATAGCCAGATCAAAAAGATCTGTTGCATTCTTTT